CTACAATTCCTTCAGGCATGGAGCTTAAACTGCTCAGGAAAGCCTGTACATTCAAAAGCAAGAAAACTTTGCAGAATCTGGGAGAAGCTGATGATTCAAGCTGAGCAAACGATGGGAAAGCACTTGTGAGAAAGCCTGCCTTTCTGAACGACCTGTCTTTGCTCCTCCCATTAAATAACAGGCATATTCACTCACAACCCCTGTCCAAAGAGTCTTCAGGAAACAAATTCTGGATAGAAACATGTGTTTTTTTCTGTTTTTTTGGCAGTTGTGGTATCTTTACAACTTCTTTGGCATGAGCAGGACCAGCTCCCACCAAGAGACAGAGAGGAACAGGCTCCTCTAACAAGTCCACAAGAAATGTCAATAGTCAGAAACACTTTAGCCTCATAGGTCGCATCCTTTGCAGTGCTACATAAAACACCCCAAAGAAAGGAAAACTTTGCTAAATAACAAGGTGTCTTTCAAACTAGCAAGGTCTGAGAAACAAGGTGAATTTATCCTTGCTGTTGGCTGCTGGGTTGGTCCCAGACTTACTCAGATGCAGAAGCACCCGTGGGTGGCTGACATTAGCTTGATGCTAGTGCTAGCCACACTCAGGCAGAAACGAACCATGTAGCGAGTCTTCCTCGCCAGCAGCCTTCATCCCTTGCTGTCAGGCTCGCTTGACGTCTCTGTGCCCCAAACCATGGGCAGCCATGTCCTACCCCAATGACTTGGGCAACTGGCATCAGCGGGAAGTAAGTGAGGAGCAGCCTCATCTCTTGTCCCCAGGTCAAATTGCTGCTGCTGGAGAGCGTGGTGGGAACAGTGTCCACGGAGGGAGGGCAGAGCCAGAGGGTGATGGGGCCCCTGAGTCTAATGCTCAGTAGAAGGAGGAATGGCAAAAGCAGCTTCCATCTGCTTGTATTTTGGGAACACACAGAGCAATTGCAAAAAACCTCATTTCGTTAGAAAGCCAGGCTGAAAATACCAGTGACTCTCCAGCATCCCATTCTCTCTGGGATCACAAGACCCATCTTTTTTATTAGCTGCTCCACACTGCAGACAGTATTCCTGTCAACAGCATCTCACTAGCTCCTAATCACTCCCTCTAGGGAAATGCTAATAACAGCTTTACCTTCATTTTCAGCCCTGCTAGCACAGAACAGCCCCTTTGGTGCACAGACTCACTCCTTGCAAACTCAGCTGCCACTTTGCTTTATTTCTGCATCCAGCTTGTTGCCCTTGCAATTTCCCCGTCTTCACACAGCCACAATCTGTGTTTTCCTCTCCAAGATTGTGCGATATTGTCCCCGTGCCAGAAGTGCTGCTATGGTTTACCGCAGCCCAACGTCCCAGCTGTTGGCTGCCCGCAACTGAACTCCTGGGGAGCAGCTTGGGGAGTATTTAATGCGCAGGCTTAGGGTTGAATAATTGCAGCTCACGTGGTTTCGTGGATGAGAGCTCATGCTTAGCACCTCGAGAAAAAGCTGGAGAAAATGAGCTTATTATACCAGCATTAACCCGCAGGGCTGGCTGCAGACAGACAGCAGTTATCCCCGCTTTATGCTAGTGCAGCTGATTTATGGATGAATAAATGCCGAGGATGAGCCCTTGCGGGTGGGAGCCACAGGCTGTCCTGCTGCCACAGCAGCCAGCAAGCCCCAGACACGGCAGGGTTTCGGGCAGTGGGAGAGCAGAGAGCGGAAAGCTGATGGAGCGAGAGGCTGCCGGCAGCTTGTCCAAATGCCCAGGGACTGGTGAGGGACAGAGAGAGAACCTCTGTCCTTTTTCACCATTTTCTTAGCTGTGAGAAGGGTTTCTGAGTTGCCCCAACACACCTGCCTGGATGAGAGATGTTCCACCAAGGGGGAATTTCGGGGGATGTCTCCTTTGGGATAGGGCTTAGCTGGGGATGTTGCATCTTGTCACCCTGCCACCCCACGCTGCCAGCTCTCCTTCCACAAACACCGCTGGAAGTGACAAAGCTGGTGGGGGACGGTTCATCAGGCTGATGTGGGTGCAGTATCATGAATAAGAGGGAGCTGTAGCTTTCACGGTCTCACCATGACATGGAGAGCCTCAGGTACAGAGGAGAGACTGATCGCCAGTACCATTAGATGCCTGCATGGAGCTGGTCCCCCCAGGACCACTTGGAGTCCATGGGGAGAACAGACACTTCTTCAGTGAAGCTGATGTGATTCAGTTTATGCAGAGACTTCAGGGTGAAACAAAGCATCCTGAAAGTGTCTTTATCTCCATCACCTACAAGGGACCCCAGCCCACTTGGCTGTGGATGTCCACATTTGGGTAGGGGAATTCCATATAGGAGAGGGCTGGTTTTCCAGTATAACTTTAGATATTTTACACCAGGGACTCTGGCAGAAGTTGAGTAAGCATTGCACAGAACTTGCTTTTCAAAACTCCCCCTGCCTCTGCCAACCCTGCTCAGCACCAGGGCGTTTTGATGCTCCTAAAGTGCCTTCAAAGCATAGATAGGAAGAAGAGAACTGAGGACACAGACTCCTTTTATCATGCTTTCCTTTTTGTTCATTTGCTGAGCTGAGGCTGTGGTTTCAGAGGGCAGGAAGGAGAGGATCTGTGACTGTGGTTGGGAGCTTAAAACACAGCAGGCAAGTCCATGTAATGCCATGCTTGCTGCTTGAAGCACAGCAGGTCAGATGCAACCTCTGCTCCAAACGTGGATACCAGCAAGGAAGATGACATTACTCGGTCCTACAGTATTAATCCTATGGGACAGTATCAGCCAAATGCAATATTGCTGTCATGAGCAAAGGCAGGAGGATTTGATCCCACCAGAGGTGGGCCCTGCTGTGCTAGTGGGGTTTAAAGTCACCATAACATCTTCCAAACAGCGTTGAGCGATGGATGTGGAGGACAGGGAATAATCACCCTATGTCTGCCAAATTAATGTCATGGAAAGCTCTGGGAATCCTGTTGTCCCTCCAACCAGGTTTCAGGTCCCCTACTTTTAGTTAAGACAGACACACGCTCAGTGAGGGCTGGCACAAACCTCCCCTGGACTCTCAGCGTTGGAGGTCTCGACCACGCTATGGCTTTCCTCAAACCATCCCCTGAGTCAATTTAGTGCACTAAACTGGCACAGTTGTAATTTCTGACCACTGAAATGTTTAAATACTACTTTACTGGCGGTATAGCTCTGCGCTAAAAGAAAAGAAAACCCAGAGAAAAGTGAATAAAAGCTGTAGGCAGCGAAAAAACAAATAAAGGCTCAAACTGGCTTCCTGGTTCTTTTCCATTTTCACTTTTCTTTCCATCGCCACCCTTTCAAATATGCTCTGACGTGAGATGGAGGCAGCACAGGCGTGCATTGAGAGAAATGGCAAAGGGCTGCTCGTGGGACAGCCACCCACCACTCGTCCCCGTGTCTTGGTGGGTGCAGCAGGGATGTGGCACCGGGTAAAAAAGAGCCAAAGCTGGATCCAGCTGTGGGTCTAGAGTGCTTGTTGGACCCTGGAGTCTCAGCCCAGCTGTGCTTCCAGATACATGACTTTCCCTCTTCTCCTGGACCTCTAAAAAGCAAAGCATAGCTCCTGGCATGTTCCCACTTCCAGGGAGAGAAAAAAACCCACAGTGGGCATCAGGTCTTTGCATCTCCAGCCCTGGTTTAAAGGCAGGCAGGTTTCCTCAGCCCCATTTTTTTAGGCACAGCACGTGCCAGCAGCCGGGCAGAGCACGTTTGCACGCCAAGGTCACCTCGAATCGCATCCGCTGCCTGTTTTTGTTTCTCCACCTGCTCTGCCTGCGCAGCTGCCTGACGAGCATCGCCTCCGAGCACGGCCAGCGCTGAATTCGGGTGGTGAACACGCCACATTGCTCGCCACCGCCGGCAGCACATCTGTCCCCCCGGACACGGGGATATGTGATAAGGTTATCGCTGCCGGGGCACGCGGGGAAAGCCCGGTCCTGCCCGAGGACCAGCTGGCTGAACATGCTGTCTGCTGCCGTCGCGTTTGCAACTCCCGAAAAACGAGCCCCTCGGCTCAGGGTTTTAGGGTCGGTGGGTTTGCGCCGGGGCTCGGCAATGGCGCTGCCTGTCCCGATGAGGACTGACGGCTCCTTTTTGCAGGGTTCATTTTGGGCCAGCCGAGCCCCCTCCCTGCAGTGCTGCACACGTGCTGGTGTTGGCAACGGCAAGGGGCAGAATGGCCTTAAACCGAATTATGGCAACTGGGGAAAAGCAATCATGAATGACAGGCATGACTCACGGCCGTTTCTTGAACTGTGGGATGAATTCCAGCGTTAAGGAGCTGCAGCTAGACCCGGGGCTACCCGGGCCCTTCAGAGTCCACTTCCCACAGGGCTAACGAATGTTAAAAGAGGCAAGGGAACAGCACCTTCAGCCCCGCGCTTTTAACACAGGGATTTTATTTCTGTGCAGTGTCGCTTACTAGAAATTCCTACTGTCAAACGCTATCGTTTATTCCAGAACGGAGCTACTGACAGTTTTCCCGAGAGTGTTAAAAAGAGGATGGGGGCAGCTGATGGGTCCTACAGAAAGAGAAGTACCGGAGCATTAAAATTGAGTGGAAAACAGGAACCTTTGGAGCAGCAGCGTTTTCCAGTGTGCTGGCCAAAGCATGACTGGGGAAGAATGGGTACGTACCCTATCTTTCTGCGGTTTCCAAGGGATTAAAGGCTCAGGGGGGGAAGGAATGACTGAAGGCGGGTTGGGGGGTGTCAGGAACGCTGAGGGCAGCCCCCCCCCCAAAAAAACCCCGAGGTTAGGTGCGTTTATTTTTAGGCTGTTTCCTTCACTTTCTCCACGGCAGGGCCCACCGTCGGGGTTGCCGTTGCCCAGCGCTGTCCCCCGGGCCCCGGCTCCGCCACCGCTGCCCGATCGCTGCCGGGACCCGGGCCGGGACGGAGGAGGAGGAGGAGAAGGAGGCGGGGCGGGCCCGGCGGCGCTCCCTCCTCGCCAGCAGGTGGCGCCCTCTCCCCCCCTCCCCGCTCCGCGGACACACACAAGATGGCGGCGGCGGGGAGAAGGGGAGGCGGCGGGTCACTCTGACAGCGTTCGGTCTGCCCGCCGCCATGTTGGTGAGGGCGGCGGCGGCGGCGGCAAGCTCGCCCGGGTTGCTGCGGCGGTTGTGGCGGGGCGGGGGGAGCGGGGCCGCCGCTTGTTTCCCGCTGGGGCGGGCGCTGCTGGACGTGCGGGGGGCGGAGGCCGGCGTCTTCCTTCAGGGGCTGCTGACGAACGACGTCACGCCGCTGGTAGCGGGGAACGGCGCTCCCGCCGCGCTGTATGCGCATGCGCTCAACGTGCAGGGCCGCTGTCTGTATGACCTCATTCTCTACAGGTGAGACCAAGCGGAGGGGCGGGGAGGGGCTGGGCGAGACCACTACTGGGGGGAGGGGGGGCGGCGCGTCCTGTTGCTATGGAAACGGGGGCGCGCGGCCTTGGCGGGCTTCGCCGTGCTCGCCGGTCGCCCTGTCAGCCGCCATGTCGCACGCCGGTCTCTAAGGGATTTCTGGCTTATCTTTCTGAATTTATGCGCAAAAAAGGGCTTACTCTGTTTGTTTTTCATCACTGGCTGCAACCTCTGTGAGATCGTTGGGAGGCAGGGTCGATCTGCTGAGGGTAGGAAGGCTCTACAGAGGGATCTGGACAGGCTGGACCGATGGGCTGAGGCCAACTGTGTGAGGTTCAACAAGGCCAAGTGCCACGTCCTGCACCTGGGTCACAGCAACCCCATGCAGCTCTAAGGGCTTGGGGAAGAGTGGCTGGAAAGCTGCCCAGTGGAAAAAGACCTGGGGGTGTTGGTCGACAGCCGGCTGAATATGAGCCGGCAGTGTGCCCAGGTGGCCAAGAAGGCCAACGGCATCCTGGCCTGTATCAGAAATGGTGCGGCCAGCAGGAGCAGGGAGGTGATCGTCCCCCTGTACTGGGCACTGGTGAGGCCACACCTCGAGTCCTGTGTTCAGTTTTGGGCCCCTCACTACAGGAAAGACATGGAGGTGCTGGAGCGTGTCCAGAGAAGGGCAACGAAGCTGGGGAAGGGTCTGGAGCACAAGTCTTATGAGGAGCGGCTGAGGGAACTGGGGCTGTTTAGTCTGGAGAAAAGGAGGTTGAAGGGAGACCTTATAGCTCTCTACAGCTACCTGAAGGGGGGTGTAGTGAGGTGGGTGCTGGTCTCTTCTGTCAGGTGGCTGAAGATAGGACGAGAGGAAATGGCCTCAAGTTGAGGCAAGGGAGATTTAGGTTAGATATTAGGAAAAATTTTTTTACTGAGAGGGTTGTCAGACCTTGGAATAGGCTGCCCAGGGAAGCGGTTGAGTGACCATCCGTGGAGGTATTCAAAAAGCAAGTAAATGGGGTACTCCAGAATATGATTTAGTGGGCATGGATGATGGTTGGACTCGATGATCTTGAAGGTCTTTTCCAACCTAAATGGTTCTATGAGTTACCCCAGCAGAAAAGCATAATGATCTTAATTTTAAAGCGGCCCTCAGGGTAGGCCCCAGGCGTGGCGTCTCTGGGTATATTAGGCTGAGAGGAAATGGCATCACATTGCGGCAGGGGAGGTTTAGATTGGATATTAGGAAAATTTCTTGACTGAAAGGATTGTCAGGCATTGGAACAGTCTGCCCAGGGAAGTGGTGGAGTCACCATCCCTGGAGGCGTTCAAAAACCATGTAGACGTGGCACTTCAGGACATGGTTTAGTGGCCATGGTGGTGTTGGGTTGACGGTTGGACTCAATGATCTTAAAGGTCTTTTCCAACCTAAATGATTCTATGATTCCATGATTCTATTTGGGCTGTATCCGAAACAAGCGGTTTGCGCTATCTCACAGGTGGCATAGTCACTGACACCGCGGCATGCCATATGGCATCTAATAATTGCACCGTACAGCCACCTGACGTTAATGTGGTGTCAATCAATGAAAAATTTGGCTCGCGCAAACTATTGGGCCAGGTTAACGGTGTGACTAATGGAAAGCACAGCTGAACGAAGCTTCTCCTCCTTCTGAAGTCACCTCGCTTTAGGTAAGAGTGAGTGGTAGAGAAGACTGTAGAGCCAGACCCATTTTTGTCCCTGGGAGAGGTGACGGCAGTATTTGCTAGAAAAGAGTGGAACGGATGCCTGAAAAAGTTCAGGTATTTCACTACAGGGAGCTGACTGCTACTCTTCTGTGTGCCAGCAGCCTTCGGTGAGATTCCCCAGATCTCTGGACTCACACCAGGATCAAGTAAAAGCGTGTTGGCTTCTGCTGCTGTGGAGGTTTGTTTTTCTGACCTTGTAGGTGTTACTTTTTCAGGCTTCACGAGAGTCCAGAAGAAGAGCCACACATCCTGCTGGAGTGTGACAGCGGCGTGCTGGACACCATACAAAAACATCTGAAACTGTACAAGATCCGGAGGAAAGTAAACATCACCCCTTGCCTTGACCTCTCTTTGTGGGCCGTTGTCCCCGGGGAGCGGGCTGGAGACATTGCCAGTTCCCTCGCTAAATGTGCAGACCAGGCTCTGATTTTAACTCCTGACCCAAGAACAGAAGTCATGGGCTGGAGACTGATTGCAAAGAAAGGAGCAAATCTATTGGAGATTATCCCTGGGAGTCATATTGGAAACATTGAGGATTACCACAGGCACAGGTATAAACAAGGTAAAGCCAAGTCCTGTTTTGCACTCTGTGTCACTGGCTTTGGGGAAATTAATTTATTTATATATTATCACAGTTTCATCTTATTATCAGAGTCCAGACGCTGATATAAGACAGAGGAATAAATTATAAAAGCCGCATTGGTATGTCTCAATGTGTTTAACTTGTTAATAAGTACAGGTATTATTTGCTAGTTTGAGGATAAAAGTGATCTAGTAGTTATAATTCTGTCTGGTGGCAGAATCAATATTTGGGTACAGTTTCCTATTACTAAGATTATGGGGTGGTGGGTCAGGAATGCTAACATCAAAAGAAAACCAGGATTATTCATTTTCTTAGAGGGAAACTTCTGTGGTTTGAGTCATTTTGATTATTTTGGGATTATGCACAGTCTGTGTGTTTTCCTTGTTGCTAAGGAAGGAAGCAGAAACACCCTAACTTACTTTCCTAAAAATGTATGACTGGATTCATGGAGTTAACTCAGAGGTCAAGGGGCGGATGATTGATCTGAGAGGGAACTCAGTCTCAGGAGCCCCTGTGCCTGCACAGAGCTCCCATTGATTTTACTGTGTCCACGCAGATAGTGGATTAAATTAATTGGCAGACTGAACAATGATGGTCCTCTGCTTAAAGCCAAGTCCATCTGCTTTGGAGAAGCAAGCTGTTAATGGGTCAAACTCGGCTGGACTGCGGGGATATGCCACCTCCCTGAAACAGCAGCACTCATCTTGGCTGTGCTGCTGCGGAAGGCTGGGTCCAGCACTGCTTCAAAAAATACTATTTTTGTGTCATCGGTCACAAAAAGAACAGCTACTTATACAGACTTTCAGTATTTGGGCTTTAACAAAGACAGCTGGCCAACTTACGTTCTGTAGCTCTGAGGAAAACTATTGGCGTTAAAGGCTACTTGTGGGCTGTGGGTGAGAAGGGTTTTGCCATTGGCATTACATATACATCAGTGCCTTTGTGTGGGAGCCTGCATCGTTCTGGGTGCTTTGAATTTCGACTGGTACGCTTGTGAGGTGCTGTAAGCTTCATGAAATTAGGTTCTAGTGCAGTTCTCCCTTTACCCTTAAGAGTAAACATCATTTATGGCTAATGGTTTCACTCATGCCCAAACTGGAGTACTGGGAAGTTCATTATTTCACACTGCTTCTTATGGGTTCTCCTGGTTTTACAACTCACAGTCGAGGCATATCCCAGAAATCTTAAATACTGAAGATCTTACCACATTTCCCCGTTGGTTTTACTTTTTTCCTAGGAATTCCCGAAGGTGTGAAAGATCTCCCTCCTGGAGTAGCCCTCCCACTGGAATCAAACCTAGCCTACATGAATGGCATCAGCTTTACCAAAGGCTGTTACATTGGACAGGAGTTGACAGCCAGGACCTACCATATGGGTGTCATTCGCAAACGTCTGCTGCCAGTCCACTTTTCAACTCCTCTTCCCAAGGACAGCATTCCCGAGGGTGCCGAGATCTTAACCGAATCGGGAAAGTCGGCCGGCAAGTTTCGGGCTGGAGGAGGTGAACTTGGTATAGCTTTGCTGAGGTTAGCTAATATAAATGAACCACTCTGCCTAAATATAGCGGGTAATAAAGTGAAGCTCACTGCAAGTATACCCGAGTGGTGGCCAAAACCTGCTAGTAAATAAATGAGGAACCACCACTTGCACATTTGCCTTATTGAGAATGTATTTTGTGTGATAAGTTTGGGAAGGCGACTCTGCCTTCGGCTGTTGTTTGTGGTGTTTGATGGGGGGGCATTACAGGATTCTTCAAACTGGAACCTAAACCAGCGGCAGGTCGCTGAGTACAGGAGGATAATCTGTTAAGTGTTGTGGAGAGATCCGTACAGGGTACGCAGGGAAGTGTACCTTTTCCTGAGGGTGCCCTGTATTTTTTTAGGGGGTTACACATGTCGTTGGGTTGGAATTGCTGAATTTTCAGTCCAGCACTCGCTCAATCTGACTGTGCTCTGCACAGCGTGCAGTGTGTGTTCAGACTGAAGCGAGTGACGGGAGCAGGAGTTTCCCCATTGTGTACACTGAGTGTTTCTGTTCAGAATAACCATTCTGTGGTAGTGTAATTTTTTTTTTTTTAATGGAGAGCATGCTGCTCTCACCTTGCCTAAGATACATACTCAGGCTAAAGTGTTCACTGCAAATTACTCCTTGCATTGAGCTTCTTCTTAAACCTGCTGATTGGGTGGGTGTTTTTCCCACCACTCTAACTGCTAATTATGTTCAGGAAGAGGAATGCCTTGTACTCCACATTTCAGACCTTGATTTTAGTAAGTCATCCCCGGTGGGAAAGCTCTCAAAGATCCTGGTCCCCGTCTTCAGCGCCGGCAGAGGGAGCACAGCCAGCAGCAGCCAGCTCCTCTGCCCTTCCTGACCTCGGTCATTCACGCTTCCTTCAAACAATTGTTTTAGAGAGGAAAGTGGTATTTTACAGAAATAAGGTGCACTGGTGCGTGCCCTGGGGTGACTGTTGTATTGGTGTGCTGGTGCTTGGCAGAATAATCGCTTACTAGAAGCACGTGCCCTCCAGTTGCCGACAACAGTTGAGGGGTGGATTTTTTTGGCATCAACATCTTTGCTCTGTCATCTTGTAGAAAAATCCTCTGCACTTTCCTGAAGCTTTTGGCAGGGGTTTCCTCACTCCCTCCACAAAGCTGGTGAAGGGACAGCGTCTCCCCATCTCGGACCTTGGCTCCGTCCCTCAGCGTTAAGCTGCAGTCCCTGGAGAAGGGGTTAATGCCACACGTGCTCTTGGCTTAGCCTGGAGTTCCTGAGGGAGGATTTTCATCACATTCGCTTCTCTGGCTGCTTCAACTCCACGCTTGTTCTGAGAATTCTCTGTACCCCTCGTACAAAAACCTCTCTGCTGCCGTCTCCAGCTGAGGTTTTCTTCATCCACCATCCCCTCTGGGTGTTCAGAGCACCCCAGTATTTCAGCATGTCTTTGCTGCATTTTTCTGGCTCCCGCTCCTCTTCTGTCTTTGCACTTTTTCTTGCTTCTGCAGTCAATGTATTCCCCTTTGCCCCCTGCCCCAAAGCCAACCACCTCTGTGCCTGCTAACCCTGCCAGTCTGCAGTAATTTACAGCAGCCCTATGTATTTTTGTATTACAATCAATCCATTGCACGCCCGCTCTTAGAACGGCACGTGTGTGGAAGGGAGTGATGAGAGAGATGAGCAGGTGATATCCCATGCAGACCAAAAAAACACTTCTTGCATGCATATTTGTGAGAAAAAACGTCCAAAGCACATTCTACCGATGTTTTGATGTCACTGTTACTGTGAAAGGAATTTATCTGTGAAAAATGCTCATATTGGTTAAAACTCTTTATGCTTGCTGTAAAATGAGTTTGTGGAATATCTCATTAAAAGTTTATTGTATCAGTAATTTAAAGGTGACTTGTCTGAAAGAGAAGAGACGCTACCTTTTATTTACCTTATGTGAAGATACACAACAGAATACTTTTTTGGGTAGCTTGCTGACAAGAAATGTGTCTTACGCTGTTCGTCACCCCTTTGTCAGGTTTGAGATTGCTAACAAAGTCTTTCTGCTGGAAAAATAAATGAAACGGCAGTGCCTCGCCCTTTCTGGATCCTCCGAGAGTGACAAAGGCGAGACTGTGCTGCCCGTGTTGATGCCGCTTTGCCAGAAGCAGCTTTTCCTCTCTGCTGCCCATTGTGCAAAGCCTCCTCAGAATAGTTATATTGTACTGGTATGCGTGCAGCCTGAATAAACACTACGTTTCTTCTGCTAGGGGAAGCCCTGCATCTCTTTTTCTGGCGCACACATGTTTCGTTTGTCTTCTTAATGTATTTAAAAGGCTTTTCTGTTGCCAACAGCCGCAGGTTACAAATGGGGGTGGTTAGGCACAAAATAAGGTGGTACTAAAATTAAAGAGGTACTAGATCACTTCTGGAGAAAGGGTGTGACAAATTGGAGAGAGCAGCCCCAATCCACGCTATCCTTTTCATTTTTTTCTTTTCCCTCGCAGCCTGCGCCATCGTTAATGGCTTTAGCCGGGTGAGCTTGGGCGGGAAGGCCAGGCTGTCGGCCGCGTAGGTGCAGGGTTGATTTTTGCAGGGTTGTTTTGCCTCACCAGCGATCCATGACAGAGCAAATCTCCTTCAGCCACGGCGGGACGGAGTGACGGGGGTCGAGGAACTCCGCCGCTGGCCGAAGCCGCCGCAGAGCCAGCCAAAAAGGGGCGAACGACCACCCACCCCTTCGTCACGTCAGCCAAAGGGCTGAAGTGTTCTCAGCGGCACGTTTAATAACCAGTTTCTGCAGGAAGGAGGAAATGTTGAGAGAGAAAACACCGGCGCCGGGCCCACAAAGACCCTCCACCGCCTCAGGAGGGAAACCAGACGTTTTTATGGTGCAATTCTGTCAGGTTTTCGTGCTTTCCTCAGCAGGGGACGAACATGGCGGCTGAGGGGAGCTGCCAGGTAACCTGCTCAGGTGCTTGTCTCACACTAAATACAGATAGAAAATGGGGACCCCGCTCTCCAAGAAGCCAACCCCTTCCCGCTCCCCTTTTTCTGAGTGTTCCTCCTCGCTGCCTCAGTTTCCCCTCACCCTCCCCGCCACGGCGGGGGCCCCCCCCCCCCCCCCCCCCGATTCTCCCCCCCCCTCCTCCCCCCCCCCTCCCCGCGCAGTGGTTTCTCCCACCGACGGCCGTTGACCGGGCTCTCGCTCCCCTCCCTTCCCGTTTCCCGCCTCGGCTGGCCCGCGGCAAGCGGCGCGCGCTCGGCGCGGGAGTGAGGGAGGCGCTCGCGCTGTTCCCGCCCTCGCCCGCCCGTCCCCTCACGGCGTGAGGCGTGAGGGAGGATAAGATGGTGGCGGGTAGCGCCCAGCCTCCGGCCGTTCGGCCTGACGGGGCTTCCCGGGCAGAGGTGAGGCGTTAGCGCTGCCGCTCCGCTGCCATGGACGGGGCTGGG